GTAGGGCCCTCAACGGGGGCTCTGCAAAGTCCACCAAATCTTCCTGTGAAGAAGGAACATCTTGAAAGCTCCTAGATTTGATAGAATAGCCTAGAACTTGGGGGCAGAGGCAGAAGGATCATAAGTTTAAAACCAACATGCTACATAGGGAGAAGCTTTATCAAACAAAGTAAAGTCATGCCAGGCGTTGGTGGCACACACCTTTAATCTCAGCACTCAGGAGGCAGAGGCAGGGGCATCTCTGTGAGGTTGAGGCCAGCCTGCTCTCCAGAGTGAGTGCCAGGATAGGCTCCAAAACTACACAGAGAAACCCTGTCTCAAAAAAACAAAACAAAACAAAACAAAAAAGTAAAGTTCTGAAATGTTTCCCATCTCGTTTGCACTAGGATCCCTTTATTGTTGGCTAAGTGATATATGTATATTCATTTTTAATTCCTTTAACTCTGTGCACACTGGGGACCACTTTATTGTTGGATATATGATACACATTTGGAATTCTTTTATCTCATAGGTTGCTTGGAAGTGGTGTTAGTGAGAATGTGCCGTGCCTTCAACCCATTAAACAACACTGTTCTGTTTGAAGGAAAATATGGAGGAATGCAAATGTTCAAAGCCTTAGGTAAGTTTCCCTTTGATGACAACAGAGCTTTACTAAGTATTGTCAGCTTCCCCACTTAGACTGAAATAGCAAATGATATGCCTTGGAAGAAGCTCACTAGTATCTCACTATTTGATTGGCATTGGACCAGGTGAGTGTTCAGTATTTCATCTAACTCTCCAGTTCCTGTAATTTTAGTCCCTAAGCAGGAAGGGAAGGAAAAGAGCCATGAAGCCTGTTGAAACTGGCACAATTGAGACCTTGTGGAAATCAACAAAGTCTGATGCTAAATGAGTTGGGTCTACTATAGGTCACTCTTTGGACAACTACCATTTTTTCCAGCTTCTAATTTACTGCTCTACAGAGCATATTATGTAGACCACTGGGAGTCTATGGAAGTAATCTGAAAGTTTCTTAAATAAACTCATAATCATTGGCCAAGATAATTAAAAAGAAATAACCATGTATAATAACCACAACAACCTGACGCTGGACTTGTTTTCCTTCCAGAAGAGTGTGTATCTGCCTGTGAACTCTGAGTTTCTGGGAGCACAGGCAGTTGGCAATGGCCTGGCCAGAGTGACCCCTAGACCATTCTATGTGCCACATTCAGTCATTAGGATGAGGCATGCATAAGAACATTAGCAAAGATGGGCCGATGCCAGGAAAGGTCTGAACAAGTGATAGGGCCACTTGTTCCGTATCCACCCATGGACACCAAAGAAGCCATTGCCCTTTCACCTCTTGTGCTGTTAGCTGATATGGCAGCCACCAGCAAGCCCAATGGGCTGGCACCATTCCCCTTCTACAGTTGCTATGCATCCATGTCCTTCTCCAGGCTAGATTTTCAAGAAAGGAGGAAAAGCCCTGGCAAGCAGCTTCGGGATATTTCCAGCTTCATCAAATAAACATTTACAGAGATCAGCACAGGGATAGCAATGCTAGTTTGCCAAAGTTCACAATGACTAAGGAACTGACCTGTGAGCCATCTAATTAGACAACGAAAATCAGTCTAAGGGGGTGGGGCATTGCCTAAAATGAAAGAAGCTCGTTGGCACTGTAAGAAGTCTCAGTTTGAAGCCCCTGGATACCTCATGCTCCACTGCAAATGACACTTTCTAAGCCCCGGTGTAGAACTTTCTAGGTTTTCTCTGAAAGCTGTGGATTTAGTCTAAAGGATTCTCAGATCCCTTATTTTAAAAATCTTTTCATTTTTTTCTTTTATTTTTGAGCTTGCAGTATAATTATGTCATTTTTTTCCCTTTCTTCCACCCAAATCCTCCCATATGCCCCTCCTTGCTCTCTTTCAAATGCATTACCTTTTTTGTTAATAGCTTTTACAAGTGCATGGGCGCGTGCATGTGCGTGCGCACCTATATATATATATATATATATATATATATATTTCTAAATATAACCTGTTGTGTCTGTTTACAGGGCTGACCTTTGGCTTTTGATTATTCCTGGGGAAAACTCTTCCTCCCACTCTCGGCATTCCCTCATTGTCTCTAGTTCTTTGTGTAGGGTTGAGGCGTCATGGGCTTCCCCTCATCCACTGTGGCATATCTTTTGTTGTTCTCATTCAGCTCATGTCCAGGCAGTCACATTGGTGAAACTTTATGGATGTGAAACAAAGTCTCACCATGTCCCCAGCTGACCTCAAGCTTGCAATTCTCCTGCTTCACCCTTCAGAGTGCAGACATCCTACACACGTGCCATGTGCCATCAAATTCAGCTTACTAACTTTTAAGCTAGAAATACTTTCAGATTTGTAGGGTCCAGGGTTCCCAGCTGGTGTGACATGGAGTACCCACTAGCCAGTATTTTACACACACCCCCCCCCCGTCGACAACACTACCTTCAGTTACCCGGCAAAGGTGTTACCCAGTTTCCTCATTCTACACTTAATATCAAATCACTTCGTGTGACTGAGAGCTGAAAATGTCCCATCTAGCTGTCTGATATGCAAACCCTTGAGTACCTACTTAATAATGAGGTATTTCTTCCTGTGTCCCCTCCCAAGTTCAAGTATTTCCATTTAAGATGTCTCCTTCCTTTTAGGTTCTGATGACCTGGTGAACGAAGCATTTGACTTTGCGAAGAATCTGTGTTCCTTGCAGCTGACTGAGGAAGAAATCGCTTTGTTCTCCTCTGCTGTTCTGATATCCCCAGGTAGGAAGGCACGGGTCCCTTGCCTTCTTTTCAAACCTGCTTCACTATCTTTAACATCAATTACACCTACCCAAGCCAAAGCAGTCAAGAAATAACTTTAAAGAGACTGTATTTTCTCTAGCAATTGTTTGATATTTTTGGACAATGCAAAGGCAAGTGGCCTCACATTTATTGAAATGGCCAATTTTCCCCCATAAAACAAGAATTCCCATGTGACAGGGATCACCCCAGATCCAGGTAAGCAAAACTATTCCTCAACAAATAAAAAAAAAAAAAAGTGAATAGTGGCTTGACTGAGCAGCTGGGTTCTATTTTAAGTTTAAGAATAAAGGACTGTAGAATCCAATAGAGTGAAACTTAGAGAAAATGTGTAAATGAAAGACCAAGTGTAGGAACTTTAATTACCATTTTTAGACTTTTCTACCCACTGCGTATTGCAATCGTCTTTCAAGACAAATATCCTTGGCAATATTAAGCATTTCCAAGGGGAATGATAGCTATGGAGCTGGTCTTGCCTGGTGGAGAAGAAGAATCTCAGACATGGCTGCATGCCACCATTTATCTGTATGACTCCAAAGCTGTAGTTCCCTCATTGATAAAATAATGCAATAGACTCTATAATGGGGAGAGAGAAGGGGGACAACAACACACCTTCTCTAGCTGTAAAATTCAGTAAAATACTAAATTGTTTTCCAAAGCTAAGATGTGGCATTTATGGATCAAGTAAAACTGTAGCAACGGATGTACTTTAAAGTATATGGCCTGCCTTAAGTGTAACAATAAAGAGCTTGGTAATGTATAGTCATACAATATAATAAAAATAATATGACAAGAAATGTGCTCCCTCTTCGACCAGAGTCCTTCAAACAACTGTCTGTTAGATATGTGGTGTAACAGCTTGTTGACAGCTCACTACTGGTTGAAGAATGCATCCCTTCCCAATGTTAAGATTTATGCTTTCTGCAATCCATTTCTCTCTAAGATTAACCTCTTTACTTACATACTGACATTTTTCAATAAGACTGGAAGAAATAGTTTTTAATTCTATCATATCTTTAACATGTCATCCTAGCTATAGTCACAAATAGATGCCTCCACACTTTCCTATCCAGAGGCTATCTTACTCACAATATGTTCAGTTATAGACCTATCAAATCTTTTTTTAAAAAATTGCTTCTTGTTTTTATTTGACCCTTTTCATCAAAACCTGAAAGGCCCAAGAGCACAAACACACATAGGGAAAGTGACAAAAGTCCCTTCTATAACAGCAACTACATGGCAGATCATGTCCTCTTATGTTCTCACTACATCTGTCCTGAGCTCTGCTCCATGGAAGAAGACAGCCCCCATCCCTGTTTTCTGCTCACCCAAAGGAAGAGCCTTATAAAAACTCCCTTCCTCTTTGGGCATGTTTGTGGAACTCAGAGAACTCCTAGGGGCAAATGCTGAAGACACACCATCTTCAGCTTGACAGAGCAGTGGAAATGCTCATCCCAGAAGGCTAGGTTGATCTCCATGATTTAGAAATCTACCGAACTCCTTAGCCTTTTTGAAGACTCCAGATGCTGTCCTTATGCTCTGAAGAGTTTAGAAAGCATTCTATTTGCCTTACTCTTGCTGTCCAGTGGGGAGTCTTCCAGCCTGGGTAGCAGACCCACACCCCAAGGCTTTGCAATATCAAATACACTGTTTGTCATCCTGGCATAGTGCCAGGCTTAGAGGAGATGGAAGACAGATCTGTGTCCTCTCGGGTCACTTCCCCAGCCTTTTGACTTAATAACTACTGTCTATTTACTCCCAAATAGCTTAAGGAAGGGCATGAGGAACTCAATTTATTCTGATTGACAATTGTCACTGAGGTCCTTTGTGCTCACTTACGTAAGGGCTTGCTTAACTCTTGGCTTGACTTGTCCTTGCCTTGTCTAGGATTACAGAATCAAGTTTCTCACCCGACCTGAACCATGTTCAGGAGGATCTTGGCCAAGAGCTTTTCCATGTGTATTTGTTCCGCATTTGGAGTCTCCCAGAGTCTCTTGAGCAAACTGAGGCAATGATACTAGGCTGACTACACTTTGTCACCATGATGTATAAAGCTTATAAGCAGAAAGGAAGGAAGAATGTAAAGAGAGAAAGCTAGGAAGAGGATATGGACAAGAACAAGGGAAGGAGAAAGGGGGGATTAACCTACCTATCAGTTAATTCGGGACAGGAAAATCAGACTCAGAAGTTCATTTCTGAAATTGATGTATGTGAATTACAGTAGGTGTCAGCTTTATACTTGATAAAGGAACAACTCAAGCTAAGGAAGCGAGTTGTAGGTGCTAACAGTATTCCTATATGATTTCAAATCAGTTCTTTCTGCTTTGAAAGAAAATGTAAGCATCCGTCTGGAGAAGAAAAATGCTGAAACAGTTACCAGCACAAGGCAAAGGGGGGGGGGGGAATCAAATGGCTTCCCTGTATAGCTGGCTTCACCACATTATTGGTTATAGGCTATTTTTGTTCCATATAAATAATTACATATCTTCAAAAGCAACTTACAACTGGGTGAGATAGGTCCAAAATTCAAGAGTTCATACATGCAGGGAAAAGAAGCAAAGCCTGTGTGCCCTTTTCTTACTCTTTGGCTTTTTTCCCCTTGTCAGACCGAGCCTGGCTGATAGAACCAAGAAAAGTCCAGAAGCTTCAGGAAAAAATTTATTTTGCACTTCAACATGTGATTCAGAAGAATCACCTGGATGACGAGACCCTGGCAAAGGTAAGTCCTCAGGTCACAGGCCTGCTGTATCCAAAGGAACCCCACATGAGCAAGGAGAAGTTCTGAGCAGAGCAGGCTGCATAAATACAAACACATGCTCTTTGAAAGGGAGATCAGCACATTTTGAGACGTTGAGAAAAAAGTGGCTTGTTTGAGGAGTTGTTTTGGCCTTTTCTTAGTTGGTTGTTAAGAGAGGGCCTGGCTATGTCTCCCTTGAACTCATCACCCTCCCCCTACTCAACGCCTCAGCTTCCCAAATGCTAAGGTTATGGTTGTATAGCACCATGCCTGGCTGGGGAATTGCTTTCCTGGAGCAGGACCATATTGACAGATCTGAGCCCAAGGCCCAGGGAGACAAAACAAAAGACCCACAGGTATGTCAATGTCTTCAGAGTAACAGACACTGGAATCTGGGAAACAAGCCTTCAAACTCATCAGTGAGGAAAGAGCAGGCTGCACCTCCTACAGCAGTTGGGTCTGGGCCAAATTAAGATCACTGCGATTTATTTATATTCAAAATTAGGAAGAAGCATGGAAAGTTGTGTGTGACTTTCTGAACACAGGAGTTGGCTGCCATGTGAAGTAGTAGCATGCCACTGTCAGCTTCTGCCATATACTGTCTGGTGACCTCTCTAATGTGTCAGGACAGTCCTACTTTGGGTAGTTTATCCTGACGACCTCTTAATTTCCCTTCCACTCTGATCTCTTCATATATGTCTGAAATAACTGGGGTTATTTCAACATGCTGACATAGTAGGGATGAATGCATGGAACATGCTACCCATGTCATTTTGTGTGCCAACTTTTCCTGTGGAGATGCAACACAGGTGTCTACTTACGTCAGATAGAAAACCCACAACAGACCACAGATACTACCAAAGTCCAACTTGGTAAACCCATGAGTTTTACAGGGTTATGTACAGGAATGTTAGTTGGGGGTTAATTACAGGAAGAGAATGGATTCAAAAACAGGTGCATTATCAAGACCTACCCTAGCAGCTCACAAAAAGCTGGTAAGTTGGAGCACACTGCACAGCCTGCAGGCAACTCAACAGGTTGGAAAGTGTCCGTTCCAAGTGACTCTGGTCTAAACCTCTGCCAGGCAACTTAGCTGGTTTCTGCTTCTCCCAGGCAGGTGTTCTGGTCTCTGGGTCTTCTTTGCAACCTGCTTCTTCTGAAAGTCTTTGCAGCTTAGCTCTGCCAGTCTCAGAGGGAGTCTCAGTTTTGTTTGCTTACTCCAGCAGAGAGAGGCCTTGGGAATCTGCTCAGTTTCAGAAACTTCCTGGAACTCTTGAGTTGTATACCTTCCTGCTTAAGGAGCTTTCCTTCCAGGTAGAATGTTTCAATCTCCAAGGAAACTGTTACACAACAGAGAAGTATTAAGAAAAGTTGTTCACCAAAGTAAAGTGATCATAGAAGGAAGAAGTAATTGTCATTGATTGACATTCAGCATTATTTTAAACCTTAAAGCGATTTCTCAAGTACTAGAATTTTTTAGATGAACAACATTATTTTAAATTTTAACATATCTTTGGTTTCTTAAGAATTAAAATCCTCAAAAGGCAAGAAACTGAGAAATTCAACTTATTCTTGGTTAAAGATAATAGGAATTCTACTTTTTATATTTTTATCATTAAGCCTTCCGACTCTTGGAGTTCTTTTATTTTTAAAAAGGGGGAGGAAAAAGACTATTTGGAGACAACATCAGATTTTACTTTGTACATACTGAGAACTGCTATAAAAAACAAAAAAAACTCCATAAGTAAAAAATGTTTCTTCATTATGATAGAGTTTGTTAAAATTAACACATTACCAGGAAGAACTTTTCCACAGCACTTTCCAATGATAGTTCCCTTCGACACAACTTTTCCTAAGGGCAAGTTATTTGCTCTATGTACCTCATTTATTATCCAATCAAGAGTAAAGGTTGAACCTACTGTTAGCCTCTTTGGGCAAAAAAAAAAAAGGCAGCAACTGAATATCTTCATATAAGTCTGTAATTGCTTACTGGCATGTAGGAATAAATATATCCAGTGAATTAATGTAGAGTGTTTCCTTTTGTCTTGGTGCATTATTCATGGTACATAGTACTAGGTCTCCCAAGGACATTTTCATACAAATATATAATATACTTTGACCATATCTCCTCTACCTGTTATACTCTCTCTTCTCTCCAGAAGCGTTCTTGCTTGTATTTTGGATCTCCTAAAAGTTTCGGTCTCTACATTTAGTTCCTAAAGTTAGGGACTTAAAGAGAAACAGAGTCAAACTAAAGGTCTTGCCAGTCTTCTTAGGAAAGTTGTCTGCCTAAAAACCCTGCTCTCAACATCCACCCAAGAAGGATTAGAATTTGATGTTTCTGTACAGATTGTAATGATTTCTCAATTGCTCCTGCAGGAAGGTGAAATATTTGTACTTATATGCTTACTCTAGTTTCTCCATACTGGCCTCTTGGTCATGATTTGAACTTTTAAAATTGGCAAATGTAATATACTTGGTGGCAAGAAAACAATTACAACATTGATTTAAAGATCAGCTTAAACCTGCTTTCTTCAGCATTAGTGAAAGAAAAACACTTAATTCTATTCTTTTTAATTAAGAGATATTTTTAGAAGATTGGATCCTGGGAAAACTCTAGGAGAAGGTTATTTCTTGTGCAACATTACCTAGAGCCAGATGATGGAGCATTAACTTCCAGAGCTCATGTGTAAATGCTGGGTTCTTGATTGGACCATTCTTTATAATAGCCATCGCATGAATGAGATGCTACTTACTGATGTGGAAAGACAAAAATACAATGAAGAAGAGATTCTCACTTGTCCCCAATGGATTCAGATACACAACTTCATTTGTCTGAGTTTCAGATCCATTGTCAAGTACCAGGAAGCAGGAGTGGATCCATATAGCTTCTTATTGCCTTAACATTTTGAGGACATGGGTTCTATCAGTGTTTAGGATGGTGTGCAAATCAGCTTGCTGTCTGTATGACAAAAGGCCTGATAGTAACAACTTATAAGAAGGGATGGTTTGTTTTGACTCATGGCTTCAGAGGTGTCAGTACATGGTCATTTCACTGTAATTTTCTGGCCTCTGGAGAGACAGTATACCATTGTAGGAGCACATAGTGGAACAAGGTTGCTCACCTAATGGTAGCCAGATGCAAAGAACAAGTCAAGAATAGAGAAAACTCCCAATATTCCCCAGAATGCCATGTCCCCAGTTACCTAACTTTCTTTCTCTATGCCACATTTGTTAAAGGTCTCACCACCTCCCAACAATGCCATAAGCTTGTGAACAGACATTTAATATATGCATCCCTGGAGAGCATTTAAGATCCAAGGAAAACCAACACCTCCAACAGAACTGTCCCAAAGGAACAATTTTCATTAAGCCCAAGAGAAAGACCACTCCACCCCACTGTAGACTCTTCCCATCTTTACAGAAACTTGTCTTATTCCTTCATGGTCACTTCTTAAAAAACAATGGTCATTTTAGGGCAAAGGCTTAGGTTAAATCTTCATAGGATGGGATGGGGCACCAGTCAGTCATGGTTATAATTTGAAAAAAGAAAATGTTTATACCACTTGCCTGCTTGACAGTGAATAGCTGTAGATGATAGCAACATAAAGGCACATTATCCATGCCATTGGTGAACTTCATCCTGAAAGAACGGACTCCAACATACTTCCAACACACCTTGAAATTAAAGTTTAGGCAGCAATGCTTTATACTTTGAGCCAAACTTCAATTTAGTGAGGATTTGAAAATTTAGAAGTTCAGTATCCATTAACTAGGAAGCTTCAGTGTCTTTATATTAATCAGCTTTATCCATGTGAAAGGATATTTGAGGCAAAAAAAATGTTAGAGAATAGATTTTCCTCTCCTTATAAGCATGTTAATATGTGTCACATTTTTTAAATAAATTATTATAGCTGTGTTAGCTAAAAACCCCAAACACAGGGCTCAAATTCCCTGTATAACAGGCTGAAAGTGTCACCAGTGTCTTGGAAGTATTTCAATGACTAACTTACATAATTTATAAGTATTTCATCTAGTTCATAAAGGTATTTACCTTCATGTAAGCTATTGTGTTTGGGATAGGATCGAGGGTGACAGGAGGAATTTTAATTCAGTAGGGAAATGTCTATATAAAAAATATGTTTGGAATCATCACTAAAGGATGGAAACTTTTCACAAGATAAAAGTGGATGATGGGGAAAGGGAAGATCAGTGTTCCATGTGATGGGACAGTATGGAGGTAGGAAAGTAGAAGGTTTATTCATGCTATAAATAATAGTTAGATTGGGTAGGATCCTGAATTTGAGAAGGCAGGAAATGAGATAACACTGGTCACTTTCATGAAAGCTCATGAAAAAATAAATAGACGTATATATTTTTAAGCCCCATATGACTAGAGGAGGCAGCCCATCTGTTTCTGGGCTTCTCTTTTCTTGTCTGGGAAACGAGTAGGCTGGATTGCCTGGTCTTTAAGTTCCCTTCAGTATAGCATCCTTTGATGTCCAAAAGAAAAAAACAAAGGTTCTTCCAGACATTCTCTTTGCCCTCTGCTGCTCAGTCTTACGTGGTTATTTTAAGGACTCCTTGGATGTTTTCCATTGTAATGGGGAACAGAAGAGGATAGCTTTGCCCCATCTTGCTGATTGAAACTGGTACTGTGTGTCATAACCATGTTGTTTGCAATGATCTTCTAAACCAAAGCGTGCAGTGTTGATGGTGCATGTGTCAGCCTCTCCATCAGCTCTCCAGGGCAGTTTCAGCTCCTGATGTGACAAGCATTGGCCTGACCCATTGGAGGAGGTTCGCTTCCTAGGTGAGGATCTATGAGGTTCAGGGTCCAGTTGAGGACAGCAGGACTGCTGAGTAAATGGAAGGATATCAGTAGTAAATTCTGAACTGTGAAGAATGCTGTCACTTCAGATCTCTCACCTGCCATCCTCCTTCATTATAAATCACTAAATCTTCCCTTCTTGTTACTCTGA